ATAATGACAACAACAATAACAATAACAACAATAATAATAATAATCATAATAATCATAATCATAATAATAATAACAACAATAATAATAGTTTTCGATCTAATGTAATTTTATATAATGTTATTGATGTAAATATGATGAACGGATATGCCACATACAAAAATGTTTCATTGATTTAATTAAGGGAGAGTTGCCAAGTTTTTTTTTTTTTTTTTATTGATAGACTTTCATTATTACATTATTTTTTAATTTTCAAAACATATATATATATATATACAAATACACGCAATGTATAGTTGAACATATATTTTTTATATTTTATTTAAGAATTCATTCTATTATATAATATCTACGTCATAAATTTGCATTTTTTAAAGAACAACTTTGTATTAACATATCATTTTTATGTAATTAAATTATGACAATAATCAAACTTTTTTGATAAAACATTTGTAACTGTAATACTGATAGAGATACATAACATTTGGACCACTTTTTTAATGAGTCCCGGAAATAATTTATTTTTTTTTATGATTGTAATTGTAATCAAATAAATAAAATAAAAATAAAAACAAATTGAAACAAAATAAAATGAAATAAAGCATAACAAAATAAAACAAAATAAAGAAATAAATACATAAATAATGCACTAAATACAATGTAATATAATAACACAAGCCGTGGATATGAAAAAAATAGAGGTGACAAAGGATGATAATTAACGCCGAAAAATGTTCCTTTTGGACGAGAAAAAGTAAAATTCATAATTATTCAATATTTAAAATATTAAAACGATTTATTATATTTAATGCATTATCATGAAAACGTTCCCAATTGCGAAAATACAATTAATATGCCGTAAATATTAAAAGAATATTCTCCCGTCTCAAAAGTTTAGGACCACCCTTGCGATTTGCACAAGCACATAAATATATAACTTGAAAAATAAAATAAATAAAATATACACAATGATTAAGACAAATTACGTTTTATTTAATTATTTTTAGAATGGTAAAAAAAAAAGAGTCAACAGATTTCGAGCGAGGCGAAGTTATCGGTTCTATCTTGCTGGTGACTCAGAACAAACTATTCCTAAAAAAACTGGATATGGGAAAACTACCATTCATAATATTATACCTAAATATCGTAAAAATGGTAATATTTCTGTTGCTTTCAGAAGTGGGTGAGCAAAAAAAAATTAACAAAACGCGATTATTATCAAAAGATCGTTATTTCCAAAATCTCCGTAAATCATCTGAACAATTACAAGAAATCTTTAATGAGTGTACAAGAAATGAAGTAAATAAAAACACTATTAAGCGTGCCGAACAGATCTAGTTAAAAATAGGATAATCCGTTTAAATTGGACACGGAATGATGGCAAAATTCATGTATGGCGACTTCCAAAAAGAAAAATAAAATACAACATTAATTGCCTTGTTCCAACTATAAAACATGGCGGTGGAGGTATCATGATATGGGGATATTTTTCTTGGTATGGATTAGGCCTTTAACCAGAATTAAAATATCATGGTTATCCCACTAATTTTTATTATATTTCAATAAGATAAAGCAAAATTTTTTTATATTAAAATTTTCAATATTTTTCAATTTAGTCAATTTTAAAAATTGAGTTAAAATTTTTTGTTTATTGGAAATAACGTGAATTTTTAAATAATTTAAAAAATATTAATTAAATTTATTAAAAAATCGGTCTATATTAAACTATCCTGAAAATTTATTAAATTTATTTTTTAAATAAAAATAAAGTTATTAAAAGTATGTACGGACAATAAAGAATTGTAAAAAAAATAATTGGTTGACAAAATAGTCAATTTTTTATAATTTTTCAGGTAGTTCTAAACTTTTGAGACGGGAGTATGTCATCCTAGGAAGTTTGGATGTTGATGATTGATAATTATCAAGATCTGGAAGATTAACTGTACACCATTGTTCAATCTGTAATTTTTTATTTATTAAAAAAAATGTCAGTATAATAATTATAATAATTATAATAATTTTTTTTAGTTATTTGTTATTGTAATTCAAATGATTTTACCTGACCACATGCCATACCGATTTTCAAATAATTTGGGTCTTGTGGATCATTTTTACTAGCAATGACACGACTATAATAACGAACGAAACCTGCAACTTCATAAATATTTTTACAGCTCAACATTAACTGAATTAAAAAATAAATAAATAGATAAATAGAAATAAATAAGATTATAAAACATAATATATTTTGAAATTGATATAAATAAATATAATTAAAAATATTCATCACCTTAACAGACTGGCCTTTTCGAAGTTTGACATGTTTTTTAAAGAAATTATGATTCCTAAACCAAATTGATAATCTAGCTATTGCAATAACATGCGGAATAGCACAAAAATTAAAAAAACTTTGTTCTTTTGTTCGATTCATAAATGTCAAACAATCAGGTACATGTAGAAGTGCATTGTGAATAATATCTGATAAGCAATTAACAGCACCCGTTGCATTTTCTGGTTTCTTTAGTTCTGAAAAGTCTTTAAAATATTTAGACCAAATTTCCTTTGGCCACCATTGACGTCCCTCTTGATCATCAACTAAATAATCTCGGATCATACCGGTTTTTTGTATAAATAATCCCACCGTATTTGCTCTATCATATTTTATTATTAATTATTATTTAATCAGTATTATAATGTTTAATTTTCAATAATTTATTTAATTAATTTATAAAAAATATCATAATCACACAACTTACAATTCTAGGTTCTTGCCAATTTCTGGATCTTCCAATCCACTGACGACAAATAATCTGGTAAGACTAATACCAGGTAATCCTGCTACAGAATAACAATATTTATCATAATCTTTAAGGGTCACGATACCATATTTATTATGTACAGGATCATTAGCATAATCTGCCATTCCATTTCCCATTTCCTTGGTGGCATCTGCTATAATATCCCTGAATCTAAATTATTTGAATTATTTGAATTTTTGAATTATTTGAATTATTTTTTTTTTTAAAAAAAAAATAGTAAGAAATAAGAAATTCAATCGTTATTATCAAAATTTAAAATTATATTATAAAATTCGTACTCTTTTTTCAAGCACAAAAATTCATCAATTACAATATTAAATTCAAGAAGCAACTGTCGATCTTTTTCATCAGGCCCGTCTGTGCATTTAAAATCAAAGATAAAATTTTAAAATTTTATTAAAATTTAATATTAATTTCTTTTACAATTATAACTCACTTTCTGTAAAAGTCCATCCTTTTTTAAAAATAATTTCATGAAAATTTCTTAACAATGGCTCTTTCTTTTCGATGGGAATTGTCATATCATCTTCGATTGTATCCAAACCACGCAAAATTAAGTAAAATATACAAACCTATTATATTATCATATTTAAAAGTAGCTAAATATTTGATATACAAAAATATACGAAAAATATACAAAATATACAAAATGCAACTGATGCTTTACCTCATCCCTCAAGTCTTTGTGAATTTCTGGAATTAGCGTTGCGTAAGAACGAGAAGTCTGTCTCAAAAATTCATAACATCTTTTCTTGCGTTTATTTTTTGGATCAATTTGTAATATATGAGTTGATTGATAATACTTGTA